CGAAATCAAGTTCATTAAGTTATATTTCGGTATGAATTTATTGGATTCATTTATTTCTGCTTTAATTGAGATCATGAGGATAATGGATTAACCATCGCTTCATGTGGATATAACAAAATGGCACAAACTGTCAATAAATCATAACACAAATAGACCTATAGATGAAGATATATCTGGCATTGATGAACAGCTTAACACACGGAATGTTTGGAAGATTCTGGGTACAATAATAAGATCGTCTCTTTATTGTACCTTTTTCTTGAATTTGTTTTATTGTCACAATAGAACGTTTGTTAATATGAAATATGATATGAATCAGAAAATAGTCCTCAAGTTTGCAGACACATACGCGTTTCTTTCATTAAATCATCTTATGAACATTGATTTTCGTTTTAAGATTCGGATATTGATTTTAGCTTATGGCAATCCTATCCGTATGCTTGCTCAAGATGTCTTGAGAAAAAAACCTAGTGAATTGATGAAACATCAAAGCTTGTAGCATAACCTTTAATATTTTCGATATTTTTTTTCATAAATACGAGTATACTACAGTACACAATATATAATGCAAGACTTATGACTGACGACATCGGCTTTAGCAGTTGTATTGTATATAGTTGATATTTCTCTGAAGTGGACAATGATTGATTGATTTTTGTGTGAAGTAAATAAATATCGAATCCACAATATAGCAGGAAGAAAACCATTTAAAAAGATTCAGACATGCTCATTATTTTGCATGCATAAGTAAATAAAAATGATTGTTATTCGAGTGCCATCTGAATGATATGCTCTGTAAATTGCTGATCAATCCGATTGACAATATATATGAGGGTTTGGAAGACTATGTTTTCCAAAAATCCATTGGAATTGCCATTGTTATCAATTGCGCTCCTTTCTAAGCAAACCAGTTTTTATATTCATGGAAGCAGTTCTGTTCCAAAACATACCGGTATGTGAAAAGAAGAAAACACTTGCTGTGTCATTCAGCTTGAGAATTAGATATATCGACGACGAAATAAATGTTACCACAGAGTCTGACACATTCGTTTCAGATTTGGATATTGACTAGAAAAAGACTTTAATGGTAGTCTAACAACAAAACTTAATGATATACATGATGACTTTAATTTTACAATTGTCAACTTCCCTTGCTTATGCAGCAATAAAGTTACATTGTAACCCTTGTAACCTGTGTATGGGGTTTACATATTTCAGTTGAATTGATATGTAAGAGCATGCTTTGTGTATGGCAATTTCTAAAACGATCGAGTTAAGGTACTGAAAACAAATTGAGAAAACAAGATTATCAACAGTCTCGTTTAATGCCATCTCTTTGTAAGTCTTAGGGTCGGAAAACATTGACCTAGTCAGCAAATACAATCTACCAATAAGTCAAATGCTGACTGATGTTTTTCATGATGTCTTACTTTGCTCAACACTTAATATTGTTAGACCACTATTTACACACTGAATTGTCGACGGATTTCCCCGATATTTCCCATTATGACAAGAATCCCATGGCGGGTATCACCTGTTGGAGGGGTCCTTACTCCTCCATAGCACCACCAGATGTTTTAAAGGTCCGTGTTTGCCCCGCCCAAACTTTGTTTTGCATGTTTAAAACTTCTGCGCTCGTTCGTTATCTCCATATATTTCATGAACCTATGGAAAGAAAACAAAAACAGGTTTCTTAAATTTCCTTCAAAGCCCAATTAAAATGTTTTATGCAAGTCATGCATCCATATTGCGTATTCAGAACAAGCAATATTTAATATTAAGAAATTTTAAAAGGAAAGGCTTTTTCTTTTTTATCTCTTTTTTATCCGCATATTGATCAAAGAATATATGTATTTAATAATTCGGATAATTTATGCACAATGTTATAAGGTGTTGGAGGAAATACTGACGATTTACATATACATGTATTATCTTTTTTTTTCTCTCTCTTTAATATTATCTGTAGATGGATAGTGGATAGTGTGAAAGGGTGAGTGTGTGTGTGTGTGTGTGTGTGTAAGGCATAAATGTAGATATGTTTCCTCTATCTCTTTGTTTATTATGAGAAAAATATAAATTAAAAAAAAAAAAAAAGAAAGAAATTTTAAAAACCTTTCAAATTTCATTGTTTTGAGACCGAACATAATTGTATAGATCGAAGTGGCGCCGTTCAGAAAGTAGACAAATATACTCACGCATGGTGAAAGATGCGAAGTAAACACTGAATTGTTTACAAAGAATATCGCTTTTCCTGTGTTAGTTTTGTACGTATTTAATTCAATTAATTATGCTCTTTAATCATTTTGTTCAATACATAAACATTCTAGAGACTCCTGGAATTTAGAAAATGAGTTTAAAAATTCTATTTATGTGATGAAAGATTGTATTAATGAGCTTATTTTCTAAACTTGTTGCAATAACTAACAGAACTTGCAGTGATTCAGAAATAAACTCTAGGAAATTATGAAAGGTCCCTTCTCTACAATAAATAACCTTCACTTTTATGTAAACTTTACAACAGAATTACAGGACATTTAAAACTCCTTCTGATATATGGAACATCAGCCCGAGAGGTAAGAGAGCAGATAATGCATAGGAAGTACCACCTCTGTCCAATCTCCCCTACAATCTTATACATTCATTATAGCATTAATTATTTGGCGGCAATTTGCTTCGTAATATGCAAACATGAAAGAAGAATCATTATTGAAAAGAAATAAACATGATAAATGTGTACTTTAGGTTAGAATGATGAAGAAATAATCGCATCTTTCTAAATCACGTAAAACCGACTTAATTTCATAAAGTGCAACTGACGCAAAAACCTTACAATGTAAATCAAAGGTCATTGACTTGTTCTCACCAAAACGTTGAAAAGTCATGCTGATGGATGCGTAATAAGGGATAACATTAAAGACGCTATGACAGCGCACATTGGTAAAAGAAATTGTCCTGTGGTAATACATTAAAAGTGATAATATTTAAATTCAATTTTATTTTGGTACATTGCCGATCAAAAAGTTTTAGCAGGAGGCAGGTAAAGTATTCACTAAGGTTGAACTTTTGCAACAGACACTTAATGCAGCCGGAAGCAGCTACTGTAAATCGCCTGTCATTTGCGAGAACTTTACTTTCAGCTTATTTGGCGCGAAAATATTTTCGCATATACACTGGACAAAATTGCAAACGCACCACCCAAGAGAATTGATATTTTACTTTTAAAAACCTGTTTATGATGTATTTGATATATAAATATGTTACTTTGATAAGAAATAAGGCATGTTAATGTCAAACCTTATAAATAACTACAAAGTTTACTGAAGTGTGACCAATTCATGGAAAAAATTAAAATCGTGTCTCTTCAATTTTAGGTGAAATTTTTTTTTTATTTTTTCTTTGTATTTGTGTTCTTCCCATTTGTACTAATTAAAAACTCAGAAAAGGTTACACCATATGCGGCGTTTGACTCTAAAGCAGACAGTATGGCGTCTATAAGGGGTTCCTTTAGAGAAATCTGTAAAAAATAAAAAATTTCACTCATGAAAAATTGTTCCAAATAGGTTAACAAACATGAAAATGTTTACTATAGATTGTCACGGCATTAGGTTAGCAGCATACAATAAGTTGAAAATGGTTCCACAAAACTGAGTTGAGTGGATTTGGTATGGACATTAAGGCACTGGGTTATTACTAGGCGATAGAAGAGTCAATTACTGTTTGTTATTTGATATATAACTTGGGGACTACTCCTGTGACAACCTCGCAGATCACCCTTAGTGATCATGAGTTTCATATCTGGGTAAAAATGGTGCGCAGTGCACAGCTGGAAATTGGTTTTCGGGCAAGAAGGTCATTTACGGGTCTTTTCATGATACCAAAACATTTTTCAATCCCACTGTTTTGGAAAAAATGACCTATTATATACATTAGCACCGACCTTACACATGCTCAATTCACAAATTAGAATTAACAAATGGTGCGTTAGCAATTTTGTCTAGTGTATATCCATATTATTTTTTATTGAAATAAAGTAATATAGCATCACAATTCGGGAAAATGTTGTCACACTTAAAATAAAAAATAAATTAATTTTAAAAAAAAAAAGCTTCACGCGAAAATGGCAGCCGAAACCGTGAGATATTATCTACATTTATTCAGTTTTGTTTAATTTTTCAACCAGATTTCTTTTGGGTTTCTCCTTTCCATGTGTGTGTGTGTGTGATTTTTAGTTATTTCTGGATAATGATTATTCTTGCACTTCATATTGTGAACTTCATATTGGGAAAACATTACTCTGCTCAACACTAAAAGCTCAAAAGCCAATAACATTAAGTGGAATAAAAATGAAATCAAAAACAATTTCTTGGTCCTCGAAGACAAATCAATCACTTTTATGTGTCTAATTTAGTTTTAGTTTCTTTATTTTTTATGTGTCCCTTGCTGTATTACTTTTATGCATTATTTGTGTATCCTTTTATTATTGGAAAAAAAGACGTCTTTTGACCATCCGCTAACCATTCACCAAGACACTGAGAATAAAATCAAACCTTGAATTACTTATCCATTTAAAGTAATAATTTCAAAGTTCTAGAAATTATAAATTGGTATTATTCAGACATCCTGTTTTAAGTTTCCATAATGTTTCAAAATAAAGTTAATAGAATAATTTATTACATTGCAGATGTTTATGTTTACCAATTTTTGGATTTCTATATCAGACATGTTTTTTAAAAATTATTTTGTTTCTTTTTCTTGCAAGAAATGCTATTACATTTAATTGGAAAGAACCAATTCGTAATCGTTTTTTTCTTGATAAGATATTGCTCGTGTTATTTTATGGATAATAATATATGAAAACCCGATAAAAAGAACATAATTCTAAATGTTTATTGTTCTACCTTTGTGATAATGGTATTTTTTTTTTTTGACGCTATGATTTATGTGTCAGTTCTCATGCATAATAAAAAAAAGACCAATGTTTTTTTTTTTTTTCGTTTTAGGACGAGGTCAACCAAGTGCTCACTACCAGTGTATGGTTAGAACAGGTAATCTTTCCATTTTATGTTTTCTAGAAGTGTATGATTAGAACAGGTACTCTATCCATTTTATGTTTTCTAGAAGTGTATGGTTAGAACAGGTACTCTATCCTTTTTATGTTTTTTAAAGGTGTTTGGTTAGAGCAGATAATCTATCCATTTTATCTTTTCTAGAATTGCATTTTTTATAACAGGTAATCTATCCATTTTATGCTTTCTTGTAATGTATGGTTAAAACAGGTAGTCTACCCATTCTGTGTTTTCTAGAAGTGTATGGTTAGAACTAGTAATCTACCCCCTCCCCCTTTGTTTTATAGAGGTGTATGATTAGTGCAGGTACTCTATCCATTTTATGTTTTCTAGGAGTGTATTATTGGAACAGGTAATCTATCCATTTTATGTTTTCTACAAGTGTATGGCGTATGGTTAGAACAGGTATTTATTTGTTTTATTTTTAAAGTTTATTTATTAATGGTAAGATCAAGTATATATTTTTTCTAGTTATGTATGGTTAAAGCAGGCATCACTGCATTTCATTTTGCCAGGGTCTGGTTAGAACAGGTACATCTATCCCTTCTGTTTTTATTGTTTCTTGGATATTGGTTAGAAAAACTTTTTTTTTCCTTTTTCACTCAATTTACGGTTCGAACATGTATCAATCCCTTATGGTGTACTACAAGTGTATTGTAAGAATTTTTAAACTTTCGGGAAAGCGAGGGGACATTAAATCTCATTCTGTCCGTTTGTCAGTCTGTCCTTCAAGAAACTTTGAATTTTGTCATCTGTTTTGAATGATTTAAGAAAGGGTTTTCAGATTTCACATGAACATTGCCTGTGAAAAACTATTTCCAAATTTGCAATGGTATTTTACTTCGTTACCTTGATTTATTGGTTATATCTTTTGAAAGAGAAAACACAGGGCTTTCATATTATGAAATTTTCATTAAAATATATTTCATATTATCTGTGTCAAGAATTTTCTAAATATACTTGTTTTACAGGTACCAACAAAATGAAAAGAAAGAGGGCGTATAAGACGTGCACAATCCCCCTCTCTGAGACAAAATATTTCTCAATTTTCAAAATTCACAGAAAAGTTATATTTTTCTAAAATCATGTTCTCAGTAATGTCATCTTCAAAACATTTTATCAATTTATTTTACTGAACGACTTATTATTTGATAAAACTATTTTTCAAAGTTGACCGTTGAGCATATTTAGTGGAAAATGGGTTTACTAGAGCTATAAAAAATGAATTTTGAACATGAATGGGTCAAGTCTCCATTCTTCATTAACGCTTAAATGATGGAAACGTAAATGCGAATTCCATTTCATTCGTCCAAAAAATGGAATCTGAACCCATTCTATATGAAAATCGAAAATTTCTGAAAAAATTTACGCTTCTACAAACCCGTTCATTTAAATCACACTGACAAACGTTGATAATGCATATATAGACTTCGTAGCGTAGTGGTTAAAGCAGTCGGTCTGCGCTACAGAGAGAGTTCGAATCATGCGTGAAGCTTTTTTTTTTTTTCTTTTTTTTTTCTTTTTTTTTTTTAACGTATCTTTAAAAACATGAGTGAAAAATAAATTATTAATAAAATAATAAAACAATGAAATACAGAATTAAATGTGAAAAAGATTATATAAACAATATAATTTTGAAAAATACATTTTTAAGAATTGAGAAATGTCTTTTCTCAAAGCGGGGGATTGTCCTTGCCTTGTACGCCTCCATTCTTTGATTCTTTTTGTTTTCTTTAACGTCTCCTTCTAGATTTTTTCAGGCATAATGAGACACCTCCACTTGCCGGTAGAAGACTGTATATTTGTGACCTATACTCGGCACCGAGGGTCATTGAGTAGTGATGGATCTTCTTCGTTCCAGCCCTACTGCGACATTGGACCTGCTCTAGAGTTGAGGAATACGAAGTTGATCCTTACGTCACAGGTTCGAATGCACAGCGGATGGTGACCAGTCCTTCAGATGTATAAACCGAGGTCCTTTGTCGCAGAAGGTGTTGGAAAGATCCCTCACTTCAATGACGCTGATTGCCAGATATAGGTATAAATTTGTAACCCTTCACTGGCAAGTGTTGGCGTCTCCTTATGAATGAAAAATCTTGACGTTGAACTAATTGAATGATGCCTATCACAAACCAAAGATACTGAAGTACATATTCATGTTTCCGGGTTTTCCTTCGATCACCCTGAAGCATTTGAAGTCTAAAACCACCAAAGAAGTTGAGTTTATATAATTTTTTACATTCTGAGACTTGCTTTGATCACTTTGAAATGTTTTCTTTGTGTCACTCAATTGTCAGGAAATATATATATACCTGACGTGATAACCGGTTTTATTACGTAAATAACTATCTTATCGAGGGATAAAATAAAAAGAGGGGAAATTATTTTAAGCCAAAGAAATGTTAACAAAATGAGAAAAAAAACATGGCGATAAACTTAACTCTAGAGAAAGTTCTAAAATTTTTGTGTAATCATTAAAAGATGTAACATTTTCACTTTTTTGCAATTAAATAAACACATTCGCCCAAAACAAATCCTAGGGTCAGGTTTTTGGCGACTTAAGATTAGCAGTTTATCATGATTTTATACCAGTTGTGAAATAAAAACCACGCTTTTCTTGTATTTGCATGGAAGCATTTTTTTTATTTGATACTGTTATCGAATTATTAAATTCTTGATTACATGTCGACCCATTTGAAAAGAATAAAAGTACACGTATTTTTTTTTATAATTATTAATATCTGTTTGATTTTTTTTACATAAAGAAATCCAATAAAATACTTTAAATACCTTAGATAGTGAAACTGTTTAATGGCCACGGCATAATCATAACCATGATATTTGATTAAATAATTATTATAAAACAAATAGGGCAAATGATCTGCTGCTCTTAAACAATTCATTTATAAAACATATTACAGTTGAATGTAACTCTATCTTTATAGAAAACAAAAAAATATGGCCTCAAAAACTAGACAGTAATAATGTCCATCATCTTATAAAATAAGAACTTTTTTTAAAATATAACAAAAAAACATATATTTTGAAGAGCAATACCTATTTCAATAAAATTTTGGACAACCTTGATCATTATTATTCATTAGAAGCATGCCTCGTTTTATACATAGTTCTAATACACGAGACTTGGTCAGACAATTTTGAGACATGGGGATCTTCCATCACGTATTTTTAAAAGGTCCTAAATATAGGAAACACCGATCCTTCAACTGGCTTCGGAATTTCATAAATATTATGAATTCTGTTGAAGATTAAGTCAGACAATGGACCAGATATGAAAAAGAAGACGTTGACACTTTGTCAGAATAGATTAAATGTATCAGATCCATGTTTAAAATCGCGTACTAAAAGATTGAGGGGCAATATGAAAACCATGTATCTTTCTGTATTTAATAAAATAAAATAAATAAAAATTAATAGTCCATAATCTTATACGTGAAAAGGTAAAAAAAAACAACTTGCTATATCCTTCAACTCGACATTTAGATATATCGAGGACGTATTTCAATCAACAATTGTTATTTTCCATTATTTATACAGAGAAAAATGACACAAAACTCAATATAGAATTTATATTTATTTATTGTGGCGAGTATTGGCCGTGGCACAGTACAAAATTGTGGGACGCCATTTCAATTGGGCGAACCCACCAAATTCAAACATCAACAATCTAACCGTCCCGGGTTAACCGCGGAGGGTCAGCACACATACAAACTGTTCAAATCAATCAATCAATCAATCATTCATTCAATCAATCAATAAGTCATATCTCAAATTCCAAATATCAAGCATATCAACTTATTTTATAAAATCTTGCATATCATATATCATTAATATCTCAAACTTCATAGATCAAACATCTCAAACTTCAAATATCAACATTTTTCATATTTCAAACCTGTACGATGTAGTACAGTTCTAAAGTATATATATTACTGTCACCAAGAGTAAGCTTATTAGCTTAGTTTACACTAGCATTAGCATTTCAACAAGGTGACAGTTTATTACAAGTTTCACACAAACATTCAGTTATCAGTTGACTTGGTGTGCGCAGACGCCACATGGCTGCAAGTTGGCACAGCTAGCAGTCACCCCACACATTGGGGGGAAGCAAAGCAAGTCAACTGGACCACAACCAATACTGCCAAGACCCCCCTTCCCAGCTAGATCCTTGCACATATCTTGATTCCTAGATGTGCATATCCTTCAGCAGACTTAGATTAAAGTATTTTGAATTTCCCTTAATTTAGAAAAGGTTTTACAACACATAAGGCAATCAAATCTTACCAAATGTGATGTATCTCACCTAGTTCCTCAATGCCTAATAAAGCTTTGTCTTGTAGAAACTTACCTGTCTATTAATTTCCTTCTAAATGTCTGAGCAACCTTGCAATGCTCTTTACCACCATAATTTTTCGTTTCTCCATTATTCAAGGCAAGTTAGACGTAAATGGTTGTAGTTAATCAAAATTAAAGATCTGGGTTTTTTTAAAACCAAATAGGGGGAGTTTCACTCAAGAGAACTACCTATATCATAATTCCTGTTTAAAAATTGCTAGGAAAGCCATGTCCTGCTGTTTGAAAAAAACAAATTTTATATCTCCGAAGACGACTCATTCACTCTCTAATTAGCCAATTGAAGCAGAGCAATTTGAAATTCTTAATCATATTCAATTACAAGAAGGTACAGCACTATTTAGTGATGGTTACAAATGCCTGTAAAAGACAATACTATCATTTTGGAAGCATACTGGTCTTGTTTAATGATATTCCTACAAAAGATACATTAGCTGAAACATGTAACAAATTTACTAGAATTCCAATTTGTATATCATACTTACCAGTTAAGCTGCCAGGAAGATATTTGGCACCTTATAGATGCCATTTTCAAACTAGGATTTTTTGGCTGCAATTTCATTACCCATGCTTGCAATACTTGTGTACTTGACTAATCTTATTTATGTGCTAATTGACCAAGTCCCTTCCCTCTTACATAGATTCTTTCAATAAATATTATTAATGCCTGTGATACATGTATGTGCATCTGAGCTCTACCGCTCTATATGACCACGTTCTTCCACTGTGTAGCCCAAAATGCAAAGCAAAGTCTAAAATTCTTAAAGGTATAGATGTTTGATTATTAATTACATCAAATGGAAATATTTTATTTTATTTATTTATTTATTTATTATATGCAATGAACCTGAATACACGTATTACATGTACTGCTATCAATATGTGCTTGATCCTTCTTAATAGTATTTTTGATTAAAAAACATACACCAAGTGAAATTCGTTTTAAATGCAAGCCCAAGGGACAATGCGCAGTCCTAAGTTTTAAAGTCCGCATAATAAGAACAGAGTTACAAAATAAAAGCACCCTGTGAGGAACTTTAATAACCCAAACATCTTAAAAATGAAGTCAAATGCACATTCAAGGTTGAGCAATCTGTATAAAAATCCAAAAACATATAAACTTTCTGTGAGAACTCTTTTGAAAATTAATTGATACATTGTTAGGGATTTAAGGAACTTGCTTATTTGTGTCACTTCTTGTGTGTAAATATAACCAAATAGTTTAAATAAGTTTATTTGCAACATACATTCTGTTGCATTTATTATAAGTTAACTTGGATTCAGAAGTAATTGTAATTTAACTTGGTATTTCTAACACTGTTATATTAAGTAACCTGAACTGATCTGGAAGGTCATGTCTACCTACATCTCAAATACCCAATATCTCTACTGAAAGCTTTTCCTAGTCCCAAACGTTTAAGAAAATGAGATTTGACTATTCCTTTTTTGCTTTAATTATTAAAAACCAAAATATATTCATTTATAAATGATTACAAAACATTCTTGACATTTCTTGGATTACATATTGCAATTTCCAACCTTTCATTTCCACTTTATTGGATCAAAACAAAACTATCCTAGTAATTCCAGTCTTAGGCAATGGATGGTTTATGGTTATATATAAGTAATTTGTATTTTCCTTTTCATTCAAGAATTAATATGAATTGATACATTATGTTGTTTAACGATGAAGATGCCCCCCCCCCCCCTTCTCATTTTCACCTTTGTATTACTATATTTCAATGATCCTTTTGTTTCCAATTGAATAACTAGAAAATAGAATCAATGACCAGAAAGCTCCAACAAATACAGACTTGAGAAAGGCATTTTCCAGAGGATCATTGCTCCCCGACCCCAAATTTAGATCTCTTTTCTTCTTGAAGTCAACTATAATGAGTAGGATGCCCAATTTCAGTGTAAATCTATAAAATTTATGATACGCAATTGAACTTATCACTTGCCTTATAAATATCAGGGGCTTTCACAACATTAGATAGTAATATTTCATAAATACAAAGAACTAAACTCTAGGAAAATTAGGTGCATTTAAATATCTATCACAAAACTACTCTGGAAAAAGATATGTACTTCATTCTCCTTTTTATTTACATTCATCACAAACTTGAGATATATACTATGTCAGCCTGAAAAATGTAGGCATTAATGCCTAATAGTTTTGAGCCATGTTGAAATGCCTAACAGTTCTGAGTCATGCTGTAAGTAATGCCTAATAATTCTGAGCCATGTTGTAAGTAATGCGTAATAATAGTTCTGAGCCAGGTTGAGCCATGTTGTACGTCATGCCTAGTAGTTTTCAGCCATATTATCACAATGCCCCGTGGGGATCCGGGTTAGAATAGGTCCTCAGTACCCCCTTGCTTGTCGTAAAAGACGACTAAATGGGGCGGTCCTTCGGATGAGACCATATAAACCGAGGCCCCGTGTCGCAGCAGGTGTGGCACGATAAAGATCCCTCCCCGCCCAATGGCCATGAGTGCCGAGCATAGGCCCAAATTTGCAGCCCTTCACCGGCAATGGTGACGTCTCCTTATCAGTGAAATCAATCATAATGCCTAATTGTTCTGAGCCATATTTTAGATAATGCCTTAAGCCAAATAGTTCTTAGCCATGCTTTATGTAATGCCTAATATTCCTTGGATTAAAAGACTCACCAAATGCTATTCCTACAATCAAACAAAATGTTGCAACTGTTTACATTACATACCTGAATATCTATAAAAGAAAAATTGAATATAATCTCACAAATAGAAATTTAATGAAAATGTGCAATGGGTCTGAAACATTCTTCTTACGTTACATATGAAAAAATTAAGCTGCTGTATTATCTGCACCTAACATTAGTTTACAAGAGCATATCAAAACAATCTATTGGGTTATTTGACCGTAGTTTTAAACAAATTTCAGGCAACTGCAAGTCCTTATTTTTGAGAGATATCAATGTAAAATTTTATGATTTGAATGTAGATCTGCAGCTATTTTTGGGAGATTATTTTATTGCAACCTAATTTGTAGGATTTACTGGTTGTTATATTGAATTTCATTTTGTTTGCCGCTTGATTTCTGGTACTTAGATTTTTCCAGTTAGCCCCCCTCTTCTCTTTTAAAATTCTTTTTCAAAGTCATTTTTTCCCTCTAATCTTGAAAGTTAACATTTCTTAAACAAATAGTTATAGAAGCAACATCAAAAGCTATGCTGGCAGACATTGCTTATAATTTGGTGTCAATCTACAGTGGAAAAGACAATTCAAGTATACATGTATACACACTCAACTAATTAATGCAATACAAAGGTGATTGATGTACCTGATATACTGGACTGTTAATCTGTGATTATACTTATTTCAATGTCTGGTTTTCCAAACGATTTGAAGATAATTTTCAATACCTTTCTTTGACTTGCAGTCTTGTATTTGGGTCCATGTCCACGAGAAGCTCCGACCGAGTTTCCTTATTGTTGTTCACATGCATAGGGCCTATTCTAGTTTGCTTTTGCCGGGTTTCGAAGCAGTATGAAACAAAAAGAGAGTTATTAATGTTAATAACCAACATTACATCATCGTAAAACAATACAAAGGTATATGTAAAGATTTTTTAGTATAACCGCGTGCGCGTCGTCTGCTTTGTAAAGTGTTTGAATCCAATCTCATCCGTCATAATTAATGCACATCAATAGTAATAACAGCGTTAAAATGGTTGAGAACAATGTATAAATGAAAAATCATACAAATTTTAAAGTTACAAAACAAAATTTCATGTATTTTATTGCAAGCAATTGTTATGCGTCTTTACCTTCGAAAGGTTCAGGAGAAAGGAAATCAATGTGAAGATCAAACCCGACCTTTTATATACTACACTTGATGTGTCAACCGAACCCGACCCCTAAAAGCCAACGTTCAAATAACAAATACTTGGGACCTATAAACTAGTTTATAGGTCCCTTCAAATATACTTTTCTCGTAAAATAAAGGCATCTATTTTGTATACACAAATAGATGCTATTATTATGTCGATACGATATATCCCGTTGAACTTGAGATAAAAGATACCACAGAGTCTTACACATCTGTTTCTTATTTGGATATGTTACTTAAAGACGTTAATGGTAATCTAACAACCAAGATCTATGATAAACGTGATGACTTTAACATTTTAATCGTCAACTTCCCTTACTTGTGCAGCAATACCTTCGTCACCTGCATACGTGGTTTATTTCCTTCAGTTGATTCGATACGTAAGAGCGTGCTCCACGTATGTAAAGTTTCTAAAACGAGGTAAATTATTGACAAACAAGATTATCAATAGTGGGTATCCCCACTGAAAAGAAAGCAATACATATATTACATTCTACATATTGTATTTTTTTTTCTTTTTAATTTTCTGCATTGCGTTTTTCTGCCTATAAATTGCATTCCTGCGTGATGTAACATCACAATGCTTGTTCAACGTATGCACGATAAGGTGGTCAACAATCTTTTTTTGTAGCAATTTAAAACCAAGCAATATACATCCCTTTGTTAGTTGTTTGACCCTTTACATAGAGAATCGGTGATTGAGTGAACGGATAGACATGCAAGACGCACGACAATTCGGTTCCTCAGTGCAACCCTGTTCTGCAGGCGACACAAAAATGCTTCTACCATATCTATACTACTAGTATATGTACTATAATCAATAGCCAAATATACCTTAAAATATGTATTTAATATAAAGTATTCGTATTATCTGTAATTGTTTGTTTGCATACTACAGGAATGGCAAGATGAACGGTTAATTTGGGATCCCTCAGATTATAATGGACTTGAGACTTTGCGTATGCCTTGTGATAAAATCTGGCTTCCGGACATAGTATTGTATAATAGGTAACGTAAAAATGTCTACTATTATAATTTTTTTTTCTGATTTTGCAAGTATCTTACATTTTAAAATGCGAAACTTTCCATTTTTCAGCGCTGATGATTACACTTCTGGATATATGCAGAGTAAGGCAATGGTTCGTTATGATGGAAATGTCTTCTGGCCTCCTCCAGCCAAGTTCCGAAGCTCCTGTAAGATCGACATCACATTCTTTCCCTTTGACGACCAAATATGTAAGATGAAGTTTGGTTCCTGGACATATGATGGATTTCAAGTAGATATAACAAATAGAACGGCTCAGGTCGATCTGTCAAATTATGTCTACAGCGGGGAATGGGAACTCATCTCAATTTATGGAGTTCGAAACGAGGTCATATACCAGTGTTGTAATATTCCATACCCGGACGTGACGTTTACAATAATCATGCGCAGAAAGACGCTTTACTACTTGTTCAATATAATTTTCCCTTGTTTGTGGCTCACGATTCTGAGTTTACTTGGTTTCTGGCTGCCCCCTGACAGCGGAGAGAAGATCACCCTAGGCATTACGGTCTTACTCGCTTTCTCTGTGTTCATGCTACTAATTGCTGAAAATATGCCAGCCACATCTGAATTCGTTCCTTTGATTGGTAACTATCATTTCAAATAACGTCACTATAGTTTCATTGTAGGTATATATATTTAAAAGTCTTTCTGTGAAAAGTGCTTGGATACCTGTACAATTTAAATTGAGAATGCAGAAACTTTTGATAAAAATGTAGACAGCAAAAATGATTTATATGGATCGTAGAATTTCAATAAAGCGCGCGTTAATCTCATACGTTTAAAGTAAATGAAATCAGTGCATTTCAAGAAGAAAAAAAGATTTAAACAGAATAAAGATAATACCTATAATTTTAGACCAGTTTCAGTAATTCAAGAAGATATGCAGTGAGAGAAAAACTATTGTACACTTTATATTGCAGGTATTTATTTGACCGTGACGATGGGAATGACGTCATTATCCATTATTCTAACAGTGTTTGTTCTTCAGTTACATCACGTGGGCCCACATCAGCGACCAGTGCCAAGATGGCTGCGGTTTTTGTGTGTGGATATTTTATCAAGATTCATGTGTATGCGTCAGTCCCAGATTCCACAGCCTTTTGTCGACGAATTCCGCAAAGACGACATGTGTTTAACGACTTTTTTTGAAAACGTAGAAAATGGAAACACCACGAGTACATGTAATGGAAATTTGCAACAAAATTCCAATAACACAATAAATAATTACCAGAATGATAAATATCATATTGAAATGGATAAAGACAAAACACATCAGAAGATTACGAATCATTTAAAACTGTTAGTGGAGAAACAGGACTACGAAGAGAACCATCAGGGGATCGTACACGAGTGGCAGTTTGTCGCTCACGTGATGGACAGAGTTCTCTTCTGGATTTTTTTATTTGCTGCAGTTATATCATCTATATTAATTCTAGTTGTACAACCTTTATTAAAACCCCCACTACATTGAACGCCAAATATTTCATTTTCTTGCCATAAATATTCATTCACAAAGTAAAACGTACATAAGGCGCCATATTAAATAAACATTGAAAACTTTGAATTCGTTTTCTAAAGTTGATCTTAATGATCATTGCAAAAATTAACACATTTTAGATGTTCTGTCATGTTTAATAAATGATATGTATAATGTTACATAATTATTTTGCAGATTGAAAAAAACAGTAAAATTTTAAGCAATTTACTAGAACAAAAAAGTACAGTGTTACAGATTGAATTTGTGGTTTATTTTCTAATCGGTACATACTCAAGTATTTTTGTCAAAGATATGACATACCTAACATAATGCATGTATATCTCTTCATATTATATATAAAGGTATTATCATCTACTTAAACAGTTGTCATACTATCAGTAAAATTATCACATTCATGATCACTTGTTAATAGAAATTCGACTACTGTAATTAAAAAATGTGTTATTTTGTGTAATAAACTTTCAAATATAACATTATTTAGGTTTTCAAAACGTATTATCTGTAACCCTTTTGCGAGCACAGTTTGGACTAATGAAGGAATGGCTTTTTTATGAAAGGAGAGGGTAGAATTCCATAGGATCTGAATCTCCGTAATAGTGAAGGTGAGACAATTATATGGAATTCGTTATTAGGGAGTAGAATTTATTATATTAAATGAAAAATATATATTATTTCCTCAAACTGAATAAAAGTGCGAAGCACTTTTATGTTAAGTTTTATAAAATGTGAGTTTACACATCGATAAATTTTTCAAAATGAACATTTAATTCTTATAATTCCAATATCAAATTCTTAAAAATATTCAAATTATTTCTCTTTGAGGCCTCCATACAATCCGTTAGTTCTGGACGGCGTAGGAATACATTTTACCGCAAAGGAAAGCAATCGATATGAATTTCGAAAAATATTATTGTCAAAACAATCGATAAATAAACTTATAAAGACTTATCGTATTGTTTAAGTCAACAAATATTAATACAATTACTTAGTCCTTGACCATGGCCATATTGACATAAACGACAACTCTCATAGCGAAAGTTGCAGACCGACGACGCCTTCGATTTGCACTTGTTTGTTCAAAGATTGAGGAACAATATAGAAAGTAAATATGAATTTGATGCTTATAGGGCAAGAGTTTGAGGTACGTTTCTTTTTGTCTAAACGATACAAACTGAGTTGATTACTTCGTATTATGAACGTTGAGACAGCGATCTTTAAAATTCACACTCGTGATCGAACAGTGACATTAACATTTTTATGGCGTCCGTCAGCTGGGCAGCCTAGCATGTCGCCAGTTTTGTTTTAATTAATTAAATATGAAGTTTCTTGTATTTATAATTTATCCAAAACAGACAATAAATAACTGCTTTCGTTGTTTATACGATAAACTACATGTAGAAGCTTAGTCAAAAAAGTAGTTCTGAGTGAAAAAAAAAATTTATCGATGTGTAAAAATTTTTATTCCAATCAAAACACAGGAATTCAATAGATACAATGAAGATTGGAATTATTAATGAATATATATTTCCTTCTTTTTACGTACTATTTAATTATCAATGACCAACCGGCGACGAAAAGATCAACTCCTTATTTGAAATTGAAGATGAATTTCATTTCATTTTATAATGTCCAACATATGAAAATTTAAGGAAGAAATATATTTAAAAAATATTATTATCAAAATAGTAGTGTATATAAATTGATACAATTACTTAGTTTATTATGATAATGATTAATATTGATTTACTAGTATGATATTACAATAATATCTATGTAGATATGCACATTTATCAATGGTTGTGTAAATACATTGTAATATATTTTTACATGGCAACTTTTGAGCAGACGCTCTATACAACTGAGCCAAGCGGACGACAGAGTTATTACCGGTATGTCAGGTCGCCGAAATTCTCTGGAATTTGTATGATTAACTTGTCACATAATTCAGATTGATAATCACACGGATACTTTTATTGTCAAAAAAGGAGTACGTCAGGGTTGTATACTCACATCAACTATATTTCTGATGATCATGAATATATGGTTGACTGAGTCATTCAGAAAACAAAAAAAGGCATCCCATTTCCGGATATCACAAAACGGGCTCTTGATTGGAGCCCATAGGGACCTTTTGAGGACCGGAAGACCCAAGCAAACCTAGAAAAAAAAGCCAAATACGTAGATTTCATCTGGGCCCAACTGAAAATTGAAACCAAAAAAAGGAGTCCGCTGATGGCGTTGGGTTGTGGTTCTATGCTGTCAGATGCAAAAAATCATTTTATCTGAGCTTATCCTAAATTTCAAGGGAAAGTCTCGTAACATCACGCGGGATCTATCAATGCAGCTGTGAAAGATGACTAGTAAATTTAGTTGTATTTTACCTGTTACATTTTACCTTAAACGGGAGGGGTATAACAAAATCGAATCTAAAAACAGATTAATTTTGTCTAAATTTCATCGTTATGAACCATCTATTTTGTACAATTTCGGAGATCGTATGGAATTAAAATTTAATAAAATCAGAAAGGGTCACTTCATTGCTGCTACAATAATCCCTGAAGGAAAGATACCTTTATAAAATAGATCAGTCGTTTATCATCCGCATTGATTATCTCGAATTTTATGCATGAATTTTATAGAAAAATTGTTATAAGGACAAAAAATAATTTGCTGATTATTGTTTTTTTTCCCTGATATATTAACCTAGCAAAACAAAATAAAATAAATGATGCATTTAACAGCATTATATTTTTAAAAATAAATATTCATAAATGTAACTTTTATATATCTTGTGTTAACTGTAAATTTTATATGTCTTGTATTCAGGATTATTTTTTCTCACAGTTTATATTGCAAAACGTGAAAAACAAGATGAAAAATTGTCAAATTTTGTCATTTCTCCTCTCTTAAGACGACCTTGTCTGCAGGGTCAGTTGGTATCAACTATCAAGTACGTACATATAATAGCATGGTTTCCAAACAAAACAGGTCAACTTCGGGTGGTTTTTTAACCCAGTCACCATACCCATTCCCAGACATGGTTGATTCAAATATTTTTTTGGCTGCTAGATAATCATGTGCCAGATTTTTTGTTTTGCGATACGTGCGTTGTACGTTGCTATGATATGCTTGAGCAAATGAATGGGAAAATGATCTTTTGCAGAGACGAGATGCTGTGTTTGTACTCATTTCCTTCCCGTGTGTCCCGTCAGTCAGTTCTACCGAGTCGTCTGCTGCGTTCCAGTTGATGCTGTGAGCGCGGGATTTATCCACAATACGAACATCATTCATATCTGTCACACATCCCAAGTCTGGGTGATGTAGCTTAAATCCAGAGGGTAGGTCTGCTAGTTCATTGTTCCCACGTCTCACACGACAGCACATTGCTCTTGACATGTGGCCATCACTAAACAACTGACCTACAAGTGAAGGAATGTTCGTTTCATCTTTTCACTCATACAACAAAGATAAAAACAAGTACAGTGGATGTTTGAATAGTGACGAGTAATTTTTACAGATGAATATATATACGTGCCCAAGGTAATAGATGAGAGGTAAATCGGTTCTACAAACAGCGATAAAAGCGCCCCCTGGAGTCCTAGAACGTTCCAGCGACAGATTTTGTCACTACATGACATCGTACGAAGACGTTCTCCTCGGCGGATCCCATCCAGAGTCTGAGGAGCGTCATCAACTGGTATGGTTCCCTCTCCTTTTTAATGCAAACGATAAGTTTGGAATTTATAAAAAAAAAAAATAAAGTTAAATATTTAGTTAATTTAAATTATAATAATTATACACTGAGTGGTTAGAGCGTCTGGTCTAGAGTCGCGAAGTAAGGAGTCAATCCTTACGTCACGGGTTTGAATCCCACTGTGGGACCTGGAGACCGATCCTTCGGATGAAACCGTATAAACCGAGGTCCCGTGTCACAGTAGGTGCTGGCGCGAAAAAGATCCCTCCCTGCTCAATGGCCGTAAGTGCCGAGTATAGGACAAAATTTGCAGCTCTCCATCGGCAAGTGGTGGCGTCTCCATATGAGTGAAAAATTCTTGAGAGGGACGTTTAAACAATATACAATTAATCAATCATCATAATATACACTGTAACAAGAGTATTCTTTAATAATAAACCAGCTTTTCATGGTCTTCCACCTTCAGTGGAAGACCTTTTTGTTTTTCTAAGCGAAGGTTTCTTTTCCACTACATTTTGCTATTATTCCTACCAATTTTGTGCAGACAAGTTCTCAGAAACGGCTCGTTCGATTTGCATGAAATTTTCAGGCCTGAAAGGTCAAACCGAAAGTGGCCAAAAATTACCGGTATTTTTTCAGGTATTTACAAAATTTAAATGATTGCCAACCTTGAAGACTTCAGATCTTATTTATCTGTCGATTTGCATCACTTTCGGTCTAAGCGGAAGTAGTCATAGATTGTGTTTTTTTCATTTATGCCAGCTTTCATTTTAATGATGAAATTCTACAAGAAAGACTATCATTATTATTCTTCGAATGGCCTGCTTGGCGTAGTGGTCAGAGCGTCAGCTATATAGCGTCGCGAAGTAAAGAGTCAATCCTTACGTCACAGGTTTGAATTCCATAGTGGGACGTAGAGACCGGTCCTTCTGATGAGACCGTATAAAGCGAGACCCCGTGTCACAGTAGGTGCTGGAACGAAAAAGATCCCTCACTGCTCTTTGGCCCTAAGTGCTGAGTATGGGACAAAATTTGTAGCTTTCCACCAGAAAGTGGTGAATTCTCCACATGAGTGAAAAAGTCTCGAGAAGGACGTTTAACAACATACAATATTTACATTTCCAATGTCTTTTTCCGAGATAAAATTACAAGTATTTCCCCCTTCAATGTATCGGCGCGGTTCCAAAAAAAACCACGTGCAGGGCAGAACAAACAGCTAGACAGAAGAAGGGCTTGGAGCACGTGGATTGGCGGAATCAAAGCATGTAAATATAAGGAATAACTGTCAGATTTTTCAATTTCATGACGATGATCAATCGATTGGCTTGCGTGATAATTTTTTGCATAAACCAAATCAATCAATCGAATGGCCTCTTTAGGATAATTTTTTTTCCACTATAAACCTTTTAACTTTCAGTGATACTGAAAACTGGGTGGAAGACCTACTCATTGCAATGAGCTTTACTCAAGTGGAATTATATTTTGCTTAATAAAATCATTCAAATCAGTTTAATCATTAGTTTTAATTAAACAAGTACAAAGAAAACCTAAGACCAAAGAGCTCGAGCGTACAGTCAATATCGGGTTTATGTGCATAAATTTTCCTCAAAATGAAAATTCAATAAAACAAATCTTTCAAATAATTATGCAAAAAGTTATTTTTTTTCTCTAGATCAAAGAATAGGACCTACCGTTCTCCAATTTTGTCCTCAGTAGTCCTTGCTGTCCGTTGTCAAAAATAGGTTCGTGGTGTGAATCGGTACCAGGTTCCGCACTGTAAAGTACGATCACCACAGTGGACAAGAATTGCATGGAGAGCAATCATATTTATTTATATTACACGTATATCCAGGATAATTTTAAAATTAAAGCAATTGCATTCATCACACTAGCAGCAGAACTGTAGCTCTCCGAAAAAATATGTATTGACACATCGGAGAGTTACAGTGCGTCCCATAGAAAAAATGTATATTTATTGCGCAAAAAGAATGCGCTCGGTTATGGATTAATTCTTCCAAATTCTTACCTCAATTGCAAAAAAGCTAGATTTCAAAAAGTTCTTACTACTCTATCAATTATTCGCGTGGTTTACATTTGTACGAAGCACGTTAAATTGGACCGAATTATCTTGCAAATCAAAATGGCAGTACAAATAGACGAAATTTTCGAGGATCTCAATTTCAGGGCGAGGAGGGCTATTAAAATCAATAATATACATTTATTGGAGTTCTTCAACATTTTTTCACTGTCTGCCTGAGGCCGTTAGGCCGAAGGCAGACAGTTTGGTTCGAGGGTCGACAAAACGCATTTTGCCCAGAACTCTGTCAATAAATGTTTTGTTATACCTTTCATTTTATTTTGTATTTTTTGACATACATGTATTTTGTACTATATTCCGTAATGTAACATCAGGTCTGTCACTGTTTAACACCAACGAATGAAAATGAGATTAAGCTCCGCCCATTCTGTGACGTAAGCGGTCCAACATCGATTTTTTTATGCCCGCTCAGCAAAACATTAAAAATGTTAGACTTTTTTCGTATAGATTTGTATAGGAACAATATTTTAAAGGTATAACAACAAGGAATGTTTTGTAGTGGAAACAGTGAAAGAATATGTTAGGAACACTCGGTTAGTAATATTTGAGATGACAGTTTTAAAAACATGGAGAAATAAATCGAGAAACTAGCGCACTTTTTGTGCGCAATAAATATACAGTTTTTTCAACGGGTGGCACTGTAGCTCTCCAGTCTGTCAATATATATATATTTTTTTTGGAGAGCTACAGTTCTGCAGCTATTATCACACGTATAATCATCCTTACTGTGTAAACACAGCCCCATCACCACAGGGGGCGGTAGATATATACAGATGAAAGGACAAGTGTGACGCCAGTCTAAGTTTTCCGGAAGATGCTCTTTTCAGTAAGTCACTTTCCCCAGAAGACTGTAACTGGCAAATTTGGTTATACAAGTACCTACAAAGAGTTATCAAGTTCAAATACACGTCTTCTAAATACTTTTTTATTATTAAAATTAAACAAGTGGTAAACATTATCAAATGTTTCGTTCACGAATGTATATGGCGTAAGCAATAGTGAATTTCACAAAAAATTGCGTTATTTTTGTTTTTAACCTTCGAAAACCTCGATTTGCTATGACTTCTGCGTGAGAATCATTAATAACATTCCCGTCAACACAGAGGTTATTTCCGGTTACACAGCGGTTTCCTGTAAGATAACATTGACAAAAACATAGGTCATGATCTTCAGTTGAAATCTTGAGCAATTCATGTTTTCCTACATATCAATGAAAATCTTTCAAAACCCATTGAGTCAGTATCATAATTTCTAGTTGATTGATCTCTGTATTTCATGAAATATCTTTTTAGCATGCATTATATTTTTTAAACTACCTGTTCCAATGCTAACAACAGATAAGTTGTCCGTATTTTTATCGAGTAGCAAAATGGCCGCTATGACCTTTCTTCCAGACAAGTCCTCTGTCAAGGTCGAAACGATTCTCTCGAATTCCCTCATTGTTATAGCGGCTACTTTGTCGCTCCAGGATTCTATTGTTTGTGGAACTCTGCCTCCGGGGTTCTGGGTGTTAATTATATTATAATTATCAAACATTTCAGCTTCTGGTATGAAAAAATAATTTCTACATTTTAAAATAAAAAGTTAGATTTTGACATATTAAAACCTAGCTTGCTAAAACCTTTTAAATTGTCAACGAAATGATTGTAATGGATAAATTAAATGGTTTTTGCTATTTCTAACAAGCTTTAATTTCAAAGCTATATATTACCATCCCGATTTCTTTGGGGGGCATCTCAAAAGTAGTCAAATTTTACTATTGGATCCTTTGGGAATTTGTTGGAAAAGCGCCAAATTATTAAATTTTTTCCCCATATTTATGAATTTCTGTCATTCAAGTAGATGAAAGTGATTGTAAAACGTCACCAAATTGTGAAATTTCAAAAAAGTTCACCATCTAGGAATAAATTACTAAGTTTATTTTTCAAAGCAAAATACCTCTAAAATTGCCATATTACGGTACTTCTATACTTACATATCAGTACAGATGAATTATCGGCGCATATGATTTTTTCGGTAAAAAAAAAATAAAAATGTTTAGATTGCTAGTGTGTTTCTTTAAATGTTCTGTCATCAGTTATTAGTATTAATATCCATGGACGTCTTGGACATACATGTACAAGCGAGTCATACGGCATTCTTCGGCGTCATGCATTGCTTACAAAATAAAAAAAAAATGGTGACGTCGTTAGAGCCATTTCAGCGGTTTTTCCTTATTACTGTCGTAAAATAACATTCTAGACCAATAGGAGTAACAGATAATGTTAATTTTATATTAAAATCAAAATATTTGGCGAAAATTTCATTCTCGCAAATGTATAAAAGAAATTAAAATTTGCAAAGTCATGACTCAGAATTCGAGAAAATTTCGTCTCTTAATAAAGAGATAATGCTTCATTTCTACATAATTCTGTTACCGTAAGAACTGGAATTGTAACTTTTAAAAAATTCAAACGTCATAATGGAGTAACAGATAATGTTAATTTTATATTAAAATCAAAATATTTGGCAAAGGTGTACTGTCTCACAAATGTCTGCATGAAATTAAAAAGCTGTGCAAAGTCATGCGCACTCTATATCTACAAAACCACAATTCAGAAGATAATGCTACATTTTTGCCATACACAAGGTCTATAAATAGCATATGCTGAACTTTTAAAAAATTCTCATAATGTTTGTGACGTCAAAACACATGTGAAAAACTCATTTACTAGATCTTGCTCTAAAATTGATTCTCAAACAGGATAAAATATTATACAATGTATAACAAAATTTAAAATAAAATCGATGACAAGTGAAATGTTGTGTTTTTATCATATAATAATTTGTACACAGTTTATAAGATAAATGTTGATAAATTAAATTATATTGGATTAATCGTTTTAGTGAAAAAGCACCTGTGGTTAAAAATCTTACTTTTCAGGTTTGCGCAGTGAAAGCAAGTTTGAAAAGATATGTATTTTTAATTAAGCAATTTGCTATCAAAGACCTTCAATTAGCACTTTGAAAAATAGTTGAATATTTGAACAATGATATAAGTATTAAATATCTAAGATATCGTTTACTTTAGATTTTAAACATATTAGACATGATAAAAAGGATGCACCTATCATGTACACCTTGAAAAAAAGGACTCCTGGCACAAAAGATTTGTGTTTTAATGGTCGCCATGCTTATTTTTGGAAAATGTTATTATCCACCCATTCTGTTGCCGAGATATGACCATTTCTGACAATGAACTGTTCTTGTCATAAAAATTAACTCACATGGAAAGAAATATAAAACTCGGATAAAATTTTCAACTTTTGTGATAGAACGCTACGGAGGGGGTCACGTGACCGCCAATATCACGTGATTCGCGCATGCGCAGAACGGTGGTTGATATGCATTAAAATCGGGGAGGATCAATTTAAAATATAATCAACATTAAAACCAAATATTGTTTCTTGTATGGAAGTTATTCAATCAGTTTGCGAACTTTTTGATCACCCCTCGTATTATACAATGTATAACAAAATTTAAAATAAAATCGATGAATATGCATTTTATCAAGTGAAATGTTGTGTTTTTATTCATATAATAAGTAGTTCTGTTCAAAATAAATGTTGATATTGAATTATATTTGAATTTTCTGAGAAAACCGCACCTGTGTCGATTGTAATTTATATCTTCCACTTTTTTTAAGGTTTCTCAGTGCTGCTGCAGTCGCTCGATTTTCTGCCTCTCGCTTACTTTTTCCAGACACCTTTGGAAACTGTTCCTCGTCCAATCGAGCTGCCATGTAAAACCTGGATAATAAACATGTTGTTTAAATAGCAAGTGGTCTTTGAGACTTTAAGCCTACCTTTAATTGTCAGAAATATTTACAAAAAAAATATCTCGGAAGGGTACAATCCTATCATGTACATTTGTTTGAAAAAAAAAGGATCGCCTTCATGGCACAATGATAAGAGTGTTTGCTCTAAAGTCGCAGAGTAAAATGTTAATCTTTACGTTGTCGGTTCGAATCCCAATGCAGGACTTGGAAACAAGTCCTTTGACTAAGACTGTACAAACCGAAGTCCGTGTCACAGAAGGTGCAGGTACGGATAAGATCCCTGAGTTCTATCACTGCTCGATGACCCTTACTGCCGAATAAAGGCCTCCACCGGCAGATGGTGGTGTCTCAATCTCAGAGTAAAGGCCTCCACCGGCAGATGGTGGTGTCTCAATCTCAGAGTAAAGGCCTCCACCGGCTAATGGTGGTGTCTCAATCTCAGAGTAAAGGCCTTTACCGGCAAATGGTGGTGTCTCAATGTCAGAGTAAAGGCCCCCTGCCGGCAAATGGTGGTGTCTCAGTATCAGAGTGAAGGCCTCCACCGATTAATGGTGGTGTCTCAATCTCAGAGTAAAGGCCTCCACCGGCAGTTGGTGGTGTCTCAATTTCAGAGTAAAGGCCTCCACCGGCAAATGGTGGTGTCTCAATGTCAGAGTAAAGGCCTCCACCGGCAGATGGTGGTGTCTCTATGTCAGAGTGAAGGCCTCCACCGACTAATGGTGGTGTCTCAATGTCAGAGTAAAGGCCTCCACCGGCAAATGGTGGTGTCTCAATGTCAGAGTAAAGGCCTTCACCGGCAAATGGTGGTGTCTCAGTATCAGAGTGAAGGCCTTCACCGGCAAATGGTGGTGTCTCAATGTCAGAGTAAAAGCCTCCTCCAGCTAATGGTGGTGTCTCAATGTCAGAGTGAAAATACTCGAATGGACGTTTAACAAACAAGCAGAATTTAAGAGAACCACGCTTTTCCTTTGACAAGCACGAGAGAACATTTTATTAAAATATGGTCGAGTCTGAAATAGACTAATCTCTATACATTGTTTATTTTCATCGTGACGCCTAATGACACTTTTGGGTGCCAATTGAAATTAAGTTATTATTATTTTTGAAGAAAACAGTGTACATTAAACGGGTTCCATTTTTATTATGGTACAATTATTCGAAATTCGTTTGCTTGATGGCTGATATGTAAAAAAAATTGTTTTGATAAAACAGATAGGGGTAAAACATGGATTAATTGCAGTGTTACAACGCACTTTGAAAAAAGCACTTTGAAAAAAATTTTCAAAGTGCTGAACATTGCATTAGCACTTTGAAAAAAATAATTTCTGTTTATTTTACGCACTTTGAAAAAAATGTAAAGATTGGTTAATATTCCTTCAAATTTATGATAAATAACATTAGCTGGTTTGATAACTTTTTTTATATAAACATCACCTGAGATATTGACGTTTTAAATATTTAAGGTTTTGATAAAATAAAAGGGAAAATTAAAAAACTATGACGATTGTTTATGTTCATTAATTCGTTTCTTCTTTTTTTTTAACGTGTAATTAGATGTAAAGGTGGTGGTAACAGAGGACAGCTTCAAGAAACTTAGCATTTATCTTGGTTCAAAACGTTCTCAATGCGTTTTACTGTATATAAAAAAGCTTTAATCTGTTTTAATTTACCATTTATTATTGGAAGTTTTGAGGTCATACCAGTTAGGTAAATTCATAATTATTTGAATGCTTTGAGTATAAAAACTTGAAGATATATATATTGATTTTACCCTTTTTAGGTTTATTGCTCCCCTCCCCCGTTTATTACCAACACCTATATGTATTGGAAAGATAAAGATTTAAAATCGTCCACCTTAAATCAATTCGTTAAGTTATTTGATAAATAACAAATAAAATCGACTAAAATATGATTTTTTTTCAAAGTGCGTGGTAAAATATATTTGTTTTCTTCTATAAAATTACGAAAACATTCACATTTTCTTGCTTATATATTGTAATAAAATGTGTTTGGATAAATGCATTAATCTAAACACTATTAGGTTTTAAATATTATATATATACAGTGTATATTTTTTAAGAAAAACGTTTACACGTCCTAGATATACATTATGTACCTGTTTGGGTATTCGTCCTTCACGCTGCAGTTCCAATAGAGCTACATTGGCTGCTTTTTTCCTTCCCTCTTTCTTGTTTCCATGCTCGACTTTCTGGAACACACGGTTACCAAGCTCGGCATGCATGTAAAACCTTGTAAAGATACTTCACATAAATAAGACTCTTTAATTCTATTCAAGTATTTCCTGATAATTTTTATTAATAACATTCACAAACTTCAGAAACTTAGATCTAATTTTTACATACGTTGGACAATGTGGTGGACCTCTCTGTGAATCCTGTACGATATGTCCAGTTTGTCCGTTTGACTGTGCGTACTCCATAAAGGCACTAACGGGATCTTTGTCAGGAATAGCCAGCTCAGTAAGCTCCGTAATCAGTTCCTGTAAAAATGTGAATGGAACTGTCTGTTGAATACATGACAAAATCATATGCATCATCCAAAATGTTGTAAGCATATATTTCTGTTTCTCACGTTTCAAAAAAAAATACGAACAAAATATTCACCACTTTAACATAAATTAATTATTTTGCTAATTTGATTCAATCGTGGATAATATTTTTTTTAAATCGTATGCATTAAAAAAATATATTTCTTGTTAAACACAAAAATTTTAAGTCTTTGTACCTCATCCGTAACTTGTTGTAGTCGCCTAAGAGCCCTATCAGCCGCTTTTGTTTTAGCATCTTTTTTGTTTGGGGCCTCCGCCGTACATATAATCTCATCTCCTAAACAGGCAGAGGCTATAAACCTTAACATAAAAAAAGGATCATTGTTTGATAACTGTAAAAAAAAAAATAAAGAGAAATGAAATATGAAAAAATTCCTCATTTTGCCATTAAAAAAAAACTAAAACGCGATTGTAAAGATATAAGAATAAATAAAAAAAAAGAATTTCCATTTCAGGGTTTACTAAGGCGCATTATTATATCCTACTCTATTTTTTAAAAAAAAAAACATTATATCTCCGAATCTTTGGTTTTCTAATTTAAAACATTGAAATGAAAATGGTAAAAATATTGTACCGTGTAGATCTCAGAAACATCTTAAACAATATAAATCTGTAAAGGAGGCATAAAACACGGAACTCTGGAAATTGCAGAGTGGTACATCTGAATCAGGACCTACAGTAAGCTCCATGAATGTATCGGGAATACGGATCATGCCGTAGTCAAATCCAGTATAAATACAAAGGCTAGCAATTGGTAAGAATCCAGTCAATCAGAATACTACCCATTAGCTAATAAGGTCATTATGATGGCGATAGAATTTACGAAATACCGACTTTAAACGAGGTTGTTGAAATCCCTGCAACATCAAGCTATCTGTCAGTAGCCTGTCGCGGTTTAAACTATGATCGTACTCGGAGCCTGCTCTTTAGTATCAAATAAGTTAAAAGATGTAAACACCATATGCAGATATTGGCAGATATTTCCATTGTCCATTAACATATGAAAATTTTCATGCAGCTTCTCTAGTACCGCTGAACTTGTCGCAGTAGGTGTTGCCCGAAAAAAAGATTTCTCAGTGCTCAATGGCTTGAAATCAAATTACCACAGAGTATGACATATACATTGTTCTATTTCAAATTTGAAACATTTGCATACAAGAAAAAGGTGTTAATTATTTTTTTATGATAAACGTAATGACTTTGTAACGATTTATAGCTTTCTGTATTCTTATTATGCAAGTCGGTTTTTGAGGATCTAATATTGGCTGAAGCAGATCACGTGACCTATAACAAAGATATATAAGCGAGCGCAGCATGGCTGTGGGGTTTCAGGCAGCAGACAGAAGAAGACGATAATTTCGGAGAAAAGATAAGTTGGCTAGATTGCCTAATATATCAATACTACGTGTATGGCACGCCAAATTCACAAAAATGAGATCATCATAGTTTCACAATCGATAAACTAGGTTTATCGGTTGTAAACTAGTCTATAGTTTACAAACCGTAAACTATAGTTAAGAACGTTAATCTATATTTCACATCTGTAAACCATAGAACTTTAACGCGATAATCTATGTTTCACAACCGTAAACTATACTTAACACCGAAAACAATCATTTGCGATTGCAAAACAAAGATTATCTGATAAATACAGTTTCACAATTTGTAAACTATAGTTTACAAACCGTTAACTATAGTTAATGATCTGATAAATATAGTTTCACAATTTGTGAAACTATGATTAACAACTCTTAACTATAGTTTACGATTGTAAACTATAGTTTCCAAACGTGAATCTATGTTTATCAACAAAATCTATTGTTAACGCTTTATTACAGACAGATAAACTTAGATTAACATTCGTTAACAGTTTATAGTTAACAACCGTTAAATATAGTTTTACAGATGAAAACTATTCTTAACGAATCATTAACTATAGTTTACGGTTTGTAAACTATAGTTTACAGTCGATAAACCTAGTTTATCAATTGTGAAACTATGATTATCTCATTTTTGTGAATTTGGCGTGCCATATACGTGGATTGCATGAACGGTGAAGTCTTGTCACAATAAATAAGTAGTATTGTGTTAGATTAAGTTCAATTTTTAAACTGGTCACTGAGGTAAGGATAACACTATTTTCTTATAAATATACGTTTGTTAAGCCTATATTAATTTATAATTTCAAGATTGTAAATATTTCCCCTCATATATATCTGGCATGCATGTTTAAAATTGGTTGCTTAAATAGGAAAATTCTCTACTTGGCCCTTCAAGATGTCGGCTTTGGGGAATATCTCCGAGGCAAAATACGTCATAGGAAAACCATCTATTGTGTGACTAATCATTTGGAAGCCGACCATAGAGGGAAGTCAACACTCAGAGGCTTGCCTGGTAACCTTTCAGTGTAAGTCTCTGATAGTGCGTCCTGAATAAGGACAACTCAGTAGTCAGTATATCTTCTGTTGACGTACGCTGACCAGTAGCAAGTTGGGACTAAGCAGTATTGATCATGATAAAATATTTGAAGCAAAAACTCGAATATTAATTTCCCTATCATAAAACATTATTAACTAAAATTATATAGAAAAGCTTTTCTAACAACCAGAATTTTCCCTTTGGGACTTTTAAGCATGATCCCATATCTTGCAGAAGTACCTATGTTAGCTTCACATTTAATTTTTTTTGTTTGTTTCCTGTGACATAAGAATTTGAATTCTTACTTTTGATTTCCTGACAACAGATTTGCTTCCGTCTCCTGACATTTCAGAGTTGGTGTCTTTCCAATCTTCTGGCCATATTCCATAAAGGCGCTAATTGCGTTCTTCTGTAGACGGTGTAAAGTGCTTCTGTCAAAACCCTCGGCTAGAAAAGTATATACTTTACAAATAGCCAAACTATACTTATTAATTTTCACTGCGCCACTTGGGCGACTGGAAGATGTGACAGATTCATAACTTTTCTTTGTGTTGTGAAATCACTTAGTTTAATGACGGGTCATTTTCACTGTTTTCGTGGTATGAAGCTTTAAAGACAGGCATTTACCCTCCCCCTTCCCCACGGAAATCTATACCTTCAAATCTCTATCAAGTAAACACTGAACAACCATAAAATCAAATCCCTAAGAAGTAATTTTAGATTCCGCGAAAAAAAATGATATTTTTTCTCCCACGGATAAATTATTATTACAATAACTGACATCTCATTAAGAATTCTTTGCTATTAATTAGAGGCTGTCATAAGACAGTTACACCCGCTAGTAATTGTCCGCATCTTTTAAAACACTAGTGCTAGCTCCCTCGTATCAGGGTAGCGACAAATTCTGTAATTGACATGTATCAAAATAAACACAAATTACATGGTGACCATGGACCACTTAATGTTACTGTAGATCACTAAATTTGCGCGATACCATATTTTCGCGAGATATATATTGAATTTTGATGAGCGAGACAACATTTTCTTGAATTGTGGTTATTGCTCTATATAATCCTAAGGAATACGTGTACTATTATACTCAAGAATTGAAATTTCGCGAGCTCGACCACAATGTCTCGCGTAATTACGCGTAAATAAAGCTCTCACGAATAAAAGTTATTTACAGTAACAGTAATAAAATCATTACCGGTCTTGAATTAAATTCTGGAAAAAAAACTAAATTTAAAGACTGAGTTTGAAATAATATTTTCTATAAAGAAGAAAGAGAAAGAAAAATGCAGACCGGTATTGGAACTCGAAACGTTACTTTTTGAGCCATTGCGACCTCTAAAGTAAGACAAATTGAAACCTCATTGCACATATACAGAACACTGTTTCAAATCATCTGCAAAAGATGAGATAATATGGGAAGGTTTGGAAACCGAGTTTTCTAAAAAAAAAAAAAAATCAAAGATTCAATTTGAGTGCCACAGAAAAAAATGAAGTGTTGCCAGAAAAAATTGCTTTTGAAAATATGTATGACTATTTTAAAATTAACAAAGTCTGTGTTTTAGACGTTCTTTAATTACGAATAAAATGTATTCGTAAAACATTGATGCCCCCGTATGGCAACATAGCGAAGATTAAACTTTTCTTAAATGCAATTTAAATATGTTGGTAACCAAGTAAGGTCTTCTAACAAGAATATGAAAGCCCTAGCTAGCACCACCTGTTCAAAAGTTTAGCAAGGGATAAGTTTTTGAAAGATAGGTCAAAGCTCAGGGTCAAGGTCAAAGTCAATCAAAGTCATAGTTCTTGGTTTCTAAAGAAAGATCTTGTCACAAGGATTACATACACTGTATGTGAAGTATGGTAGCCCCAGCCCTAACCGTTCAAAAGTTATAGCCAAGGTAAAGTTTTTTTAAAGTACATGTACATACATCTCCAAGGTCAAAGGGTCAAATTTGTTGGTAACTAATGAAAGGTCTTGTCACAAAGAATACATATATGAAGTAATCAGAAGTATGAAAGTCCTAGTATCTACCGTTCAAAAGTTATAATTATCGTTTAAGTTTGGAATTTTGTGTTAAAGTGTGTCAAAATCCAAGGTCAAGGTGAAAAGGTCAAATTTGGTGTACCCAAAAGAAAGACCTTGTCACAAGAAATACGCTTGCTAAAACGAAAGTCATAGCTCCACTAAATCAAAAGTTATGGTAAGATTAAAGTTTTTTGTGGAGAAACAGGCCGACAGACAGACGGACAAAAACGGATGGAAACGACAAAAACTATATAACCCCGAATCTTCGATAATGATATGATGGCATAATGATCTTTTTAGGTAAATTATAACTAAAATCTAATTATTGACACGTTTTTTAATTGAAGTCTCACTTTTATATATATTCTATATATTTTATCTTTTCTTTTTATTTTTTATGACATTAAAAACCATTTGGAGTTTGTTATTCCACTACTCGTTACCCGGCTTGATACGAAAATATTAGAGTATTTGGTATGATCAAAAATTGATACATACAGAGAAAATATTTCAGATCAAAATGATTCTTATTGAACTCAAATTCTGATACTGTTTGTCTCGTGAAGGAAAAAATATAGTTTTTATCTTCTTAATGATTATATTTTGACTAGTTTTGTGACATTAATTAATAGGGAATATTTCGATATGCAAGATCATGCTCTACTATGAACAATTTTTAAAATGAGGTGAATTATTTTCAAACAAGTTGATGAAACAAGAATATATTAAGCAGTCTCATTTATAGTCATTATTTCGTTAGTTTTATGGTCGATACAATGACCTAGTCAGCAAATACAATTTTTCATTGAGTCTTATGCTGACTGGCGTTTTCATACTAATAGTTAGTACATTATTTATACACTGTGTTGACGACGGATTTTCCCTTTATTTCCCAGTCATGACAAGGAGCACATGGCGGGTGTGACCGTCAGCAGGTGATGCACACTCCTCCATAGCACCTGATCCTACCTCCGATGATTTGGAGATCCGTGATTCTCTGCTCTTATTTTGTATTGTTTTATGGACTTTTGATCATGAATACTGTTCGTTATCTCCATATGTTTCATCTTTAAGAAATAGGGGAAAAAATACAGAAAAAAAAATTATACCATTTGAATCATTTTGTTTCGTAAGATATTTAAAATAGGTCTAAAATGGATTCTTTTTCAATTCAGATCTACAGAGTTCACATCTGCCGTTTTTCTCGTTGGATGTAATTTTTATGGCGTCCACTTTCAATGGCTAAACTATGTGATGACTGTGTTATCTTGCTAATTTTCTTTTTATAAATGCATGGAATAGGTTTTGTCAAATGATTTCGCAGAGTAATGCGGTCAATCACATTCTTAAAAACACATGTAGTATACACAAAAGTTAATTATTGATACCTGCCAGGTGATTCTACACTGCTTAAATCATTATACAGTTGTTATAACGAAATGTAACTAATTCTATCTTGGTCAGATCAAATACATCCTAAACTACTTTCAAATAATTGAACGCCTATTAGTGACCTTATTTATTGGTTGTTCACATTCCTTAAGCATTTTCCTATAACATTTTCTGTAATATTTTAAATCAGAGTTTGAAAGTACTTAAATGCCTTATTATCCTTCGAGACAGTCTGTCAGTTTCAAATTTATCATTGATGTGTTTGTGTGTTTTTTTTAATAAACATTTTAATTAATTCCAAATGCCAATATCACATGTACTGTAGTTTCACCAAACTTCACAACGGTACAATCGTGATTCAGTTTGCTACCTTGTCAGAAAGAGAACAAAAAGTCAATATTTATAAATTCACCCTTATTTTTAAAAAGCTTAAGATTATCATCTTTTTTTTTCTTTGATTCGCACAAATTTGTATGAAGACAACAAGCAAATCACAAATATTATTAATATCTTGACGAATATTCTATATATATAGAATTGTTCATACATCAAAATAAAAAGAAAAAAATACATGAACTTAGATGTAGCTTACCCATGATATGCCTTCACGTTTTTGTGAGGTGTGAAACATTTTTGTTGATGTGGCTTTTTTATATTATCTGTACCAAACGATGACGAAGATACATGTGAAATACTTAAATCCTATTGGATGATGGTCATCACCGGTTTCGAATTCATGCGTTCTCGGAAAATGCACAAACTGCGTTCCGTAAAGTAGATATTCTACTTTATTTTGATCAAACCAATGTTCAAAAAGGAAATGTATTTTTTATACTATATTATATATAAACCTTTTTTTTCTAAAATATATCCATCTTCGCTAGCCAAGGGTTTCTGATACGCTACTCTCCTCATAAACCCTTGGCATACGGTAAAGTCAAAAGACGGGATTGTTTTCCGTCACGTGATCTCGAATGTATCAGGTACCCACAGATTGCATCATCGCCAGAAATAAAGACACGTGTTAAAAAAAAAATTAAATCCAAGTTTTTACAAGAACAATTAAGAAGCAATAATTGAGTTATGTTTATTCATTATTTATAGAACAAATCTGAAGCTTCAATATAGATTCTTAATCACATATTTAGAAGATATTGGATGACACCATGGCTATTCATAGAATTGAATGTTATCTTACGGATCGTTGTTTACTTGCGTTTTCTATATATTCGATCAATGCATACTATCTTTGCAAGATATATAACTGTATTCAGCGGCAGCTCACACATATTGGTCCGACCAAAATAATTCCATCATGATAAGTAGATACAACATTATTGTTCATGATAAGAGTAAAGTTGTGTATGTCATACGTTAAAGAAATCAAAAATAACGTCAAAATATCATTAGAAAGTCACTTTCCCCCCGAAATGCAAATAAAAAATATCAATATTCCTACGCTCGCTCCCTCCTCAGCCTTTTTTTTACGTGTTTGATAACAGAGAATAATTAGGTCATTCTTCGATTCATATCTTTTCACCAATGAATTGATAATACTATATCAACAATTGTATTAAGTACATGTTTATAGTCCGTTAATTATCATACAATTTGTTCTTAAAGAAAAAATTAATCATTCTGTGTGTGTGTATTATTAAATGACGGAATTTTCAATCCCTGGCCTGCTCGTGTGTACACTTTGTAAACTGTAGGGTATGTGTGGCAAAACGAGAACTGCATGGGTTGGAGATTCGGGTTGTGTTGAAGTTCAGCATACCATTATATATAGAACTTGAATAATGTAAGTAATTTCTGCGACAAATATATTAGTATATTTCAGTTATTTTCAAAACAAAAAAGGTTTTCCATGTTTTCAGTTTAGAATTTTCCGACCCGGTCCTGATTTTCCCAACCCGGCCATTTTAAACACAAGTTGTTGCAGATGCAAATGTTAGAACAAACTATATAAAGTTCAACAGGGATTGTATAATTTTTATTAATCAGAATTCGTATTTATATGATCTAATTAAGAAAAGAAAAGTTTTGTCTGACACCGTAACTTCTCGGCAAAACAAAACGTGTTTCTCCGAGCTCGCTGGATGCGTGTGACAGCTCCATTGCACGTGTGTAGACCAAGGCTACAGGTACATGTAGGCCTATGTGTACTGTTTGTTAGGAGACTGGGTGACCGTAATGCTATGGAATCACGATATTTACAACAGTTCCATAATTAGACAGTGCAGTTTTTTTTTTATTAACGTCATTATAAATTAACACTGTTAAACATATTAAATCTAACAGTCGAATATCTTTGGATATGGGGTAACCCATATCTATTCTTGTTCATTTCCGAGATTAAAGAGTAAAGATGTATCCCGAACGCAAATATCGTCATTTACAAAAAACAATTATTGCTGATTGGTCGATCTGAGTGTACTGAAATCCAATCAGAACTCTGGAAAAAAATCCTGATTTCTATGAACACCGTAGGCCAAGGGAGTATGAGGAGAGTAGCGTATCAGAAACCCTTGGCTAGAGAAGATGAAATATATCATAAAAATGTCAAATTTGTTTGCGTTTGTGTGTGTGGGTAATTCTCGTTGTAATCAAACTAAAAACAGAGATCTAGATATTTTAATCCAGAGTTCACCTTAGTGAACTATCAAATTGTTCTGACCTTCTCTTATCAAAAAAATAAATAGAAAGTTTGCCGTACGTATCTACCCTTATCTCTTTAAAAACGAAATGAATGAAACAAAAGGTATGATTAGCTCTATAGTGTAAGAGTCTGATTTTTGGAAAATAGAAATGGGGTGAATCTGATGGATTTTATGTAAAGGAAATAGACTGGGAATTTTATACTTAATCTCCATGTCCCATCCCTGAAAGGTCTATATAAAATTAAATCAGTCGAAGCCTAAATAAATCGAGTACTTTAGTATTTGACATCCTGAGTTTTTCTTAAGAAATTCGATTTAAAAAAAGGTTTTTGTTTTTCTTTTATTTCTGAATTAAAAACGAATTCAGATATTACGGAATTAACAAAAAATTTCAAAATTTGTTCATTAACAATTTTTTGAAACTGTTCTACTTGCAAATCTGATTAACCTAAGAATGTTCACGTGAAAGGTTCAATAGGTCTGTAATTTGAAAAATCCTTTTCTTTAAACGACTCCTTTATCGCAAAAGTCAATATATTATAAGAAAACAATAATATATAACTAAAAACGTACCGTTAAATACCTCTTAATACTTATCTGATGTATTTTTATAATTTCCCTACTATAAATAACTGTCTTTTACGAAGCACTGCAGGCTCGTAGGAAGCAATTCCAATTTGGAGGGGCTCAGCCACATATTTTCAGTTGGGGCAGTATGAACTACCGGACATGAGCATATAGTAGCTTAGTTTTCTACGGTATGCTATATATCGGCAAAGCCCCCCCCTCCCCGGTTTCTACGGCCATGCACTGTGATATTTCTTTTTATTTGTGTGTGGGTATATATATTACAATTTTTACAATCTAACAATCTGTTTTTAATTTTGTCTGTGGGATCATGGAATGTAGTTGGTCATGAAAACTACAGAAATTAAATATTTATTTTTTTATTTTACAATAGATAAAATCCATACATGACAAAAGGATATCATATAATCATTATGATAATCAGTAAATGGCCATGTCCCTATTGTCTATTTACTTACACTTTCCCGTACTCTTGGTATACTTTCGTTTTCCTTTCTTTACATTCATTGACCATATTTCGCTGGTACTTCCTCTTTCAATGCTAACAAACCGCAGTCATACGAACTTGATAAGCTTTTAGCTTTGATATTTTTTTTTTCAAATTTATAAAAACTGTTAGCAAGATATTCAAGCTAACGATTTTTATATGAACCATTATTGCATTCAATATCAGCTTAATTTTTGTACCTATTTTCTCCTTCTGAAAAAAAAGTATTTACAACGAAATGCTTGAAATTCATTTATAATTTTACCAAAAAGGTTCCAACAAAATATGATTTTTTTTTCTATTTGGAATATGATTGGTGCTTTATATTTTTAGGTCACCTGAGTAAACTCAGGTGACCTATTGCTATCTGTTTTCGTCCGTCGTTGTGCGTCTGTGCGTCGTGCGTCGTGCGTTAACATTTGAACATTTTCAGCTTCTTCTCTGCAACCACTGAACCAATTTCAACCAAATTTCACACAATGCATCTATGGGTGAAGGGGGACAAAAATTGTGAATTTCATGATCCCTGCCCCCCTGGGGCCTGAGGGGTGGGGCCAAAACCACTAAAATTAGTGCAATCTTTGAAAATCTTCTTCTTTACTCCTGGACATCAAGCAGTCAAACTGTTTGCATGATTGTAATCAGCATTGAGTCCTCTACTAAAATTGTGAAATTCATGGCCCCAGGGTCAGGGGTTCTAGTGCTGAATTCTTTGAAATTCTTCTTCTTTGCTCCTGGGTATTAAATAAACTAAGTAAGTACATAGTTATGATGAGCAAGAGTGCCTCTACCAAAATTGTGAATTTTATGGCCCCAGGGTCAGGGGTTCTGGTGTTAGGGCGGGGCTCTATTGGTTATATAGAGAAAATACATGAATTCTTTGAAAATCTTCTTCTTTGTTCCTGGGTATTAAATAAACGGTTCTTGTGTTAGGGCGGGGCTCTATTGATTATATAGAGAAAATACATGAATTCTTTGAAAATCTTCTTCTTTGCTCCTGGGTATTAAATAAACTAAGTAAGTACATAGTTATGATGAGCAAGAGTGCCTCTACCAAAATTGTGAATTTTATGGCCCCAGGGTCAGGGGTTCTTGTGTTAGGGCGGGGCTCTATTGATTATATAGTGAAAATACATGAATTCTTTGAAAATCTTCTTCTCTGCTCCTGGATTTTATATAAACTAACTAAGTGCATAGTTATGATGAGCAAGAGTGCCTCTACCAAAATTGTGAATATCATGGCCCCAGGGTCAGGGATTCTGGTGTTAGCGGGGGGGGGGCTATATTGATTATACATGTATAGTGAAAAAACATTAAATTTTTGAATATTTTCTTCTTTGCACCTAGGTTTTAAGCAGATGAACTACCTATATAGTTATGAGCAAGGGCCCTAATCTTCAAGAATTGTTAATTTCAAGGCCCCAGGGTCAGTTGTAGCATGGGGGGGGGCTGTACTTATATACTGAAAATGAATGAATTGTTTGAAATATGCTCCAGGACTTGGTATTAATCAAATATTTTTGAAAAGCATGAATGCCTTTCCAAAAATTGTTCAATATGTGGATCTAGGCCTAAGAGTCAAGGGTTCATGTGTGGTAGCGGCACTACTCATTATTGCTGAATATTACTGATTTGTAGAAATGCATTTTTTGTTCCCCTACCCTGCCTATGGGTATTAAGTAACCAAACTAAGGGACCGCTTAGTGTATACTTATGATGACCAAATTGTAAATGCTATAGAATCTGGCTTAAAACACGGATCAAATTCAATCGCTGGAAAGTTGTTGAATAATGCTCAGGTGACCTATAAGGCCCATGGGCCTCTTGTTATTTACGTCATATTATCTTTTTTTTCAAAACCCCGATTCCCAAATCTCTCTTATTTTGCATATTATAGTTTACACACTTTCTAATGGCAGTTTAAGTTTCTGATAATCATGAGACCCTAAAGCTGAGGTAACGT